CACAGCAGAACAAGACGATATTTAAACTGAAGTCAACACCGTCAGGAGAGGACAATAACTCACATTCCTAATGGATCCTGTCTCTGTTTTAAATTGTGGACAGCTTCTGGCTTTGAAAAGTTGCCTTGAACCTGCGTTCTTTTTAATTACCAGCAGGGGGTTAGCTACTGTGGCAGCCAAAAGAATTCTGCTTGTATAGACCTACAGGGGAAAACAACGCTAGGCTCCTTTATTCTATGATCTCAGATACTTTCCTGGAGGGCTCATGGCTTCAGTTGCTTGTTTCAAGGTTACTGAGTACATCATGAAGCTGATTTTGTAAAATATGGTCTCCTTTAGCTGCTACAGTATATGAGAGTGCACTGTCTGTGATATCCACTTCTAAAAAGCTAAGATCACAGTACAGCAACTGTTCTAGTCCTGGTTAGTTACAGCATATGGTACTCCAGCTTAAAACACTTTTGCAGTCAGAAACATTACCATATATATTTCCATACAGGGATAAACATGTGGATAATAACAAAAATAGTCAGATTTTAAACTTTTTATTCCTTGTGTGTTTTTGTTCACTGTTTAAGGGGTAAATGAAAACTGCTCCTCAGTCACCGTGACAACAGCCTATTTCCCGATAAATGCAGCTGCTGGGAGGTGTCAAAGGTCACTGTGGGGTAATGGGTGATGGATGACGGGTGGGGGGATCTTGGTAAATATGTGAATGGGGCTGTGTGTGGTTCATAGTGACAGAAATGGCCCTTTTTGGTGTGCATGGTGTCTCTGTTAACTTGTCTGAATGAGCCTTTCTGAAGCGCTGCACACATGGGATCGCTCTGAACACATCTGTGCTGCAGTGGGACTGATGTTCTAAAGGCCATGTGGTTATTTTGAAGCTCAAGTTGTTAAAAGACAATATATTGTTTCAGTATCCATGATTTTAACAGACATGAAGTCAGGGTGTCCGCAGCTGATTACCTTATGATGGAATATGCCATTAGCCTGAGGTCAGGCTCCACTGTATGGCGCTAACAACGGCCAGCCGTACCGCTGGTCCTGATGGAGTTGACCTGGTGATCTGATGGTGGCAAACCCCAAACAGAGCTGTGGGTGGAGGAGAGGTCATGACCACAAAGAAGGCAGTGTGAAGAGTGATTACTAATGTAGATGTCAGAACTGAGATCATCAGACTTTATGAAACTCACAACAAAGTTAACTTGATATTTCATGTAAATCTTTCTTAAATTCATAACAGGATAAAATCATTACTTGGTTCAACAATGACACTGCTGTCGCACATGCTGTGTTGCCAGTCTTGAATGCATTTGGCTACGGATGCATTTTCTATTGCCCTGAGTGTTCTCTCTGTTCCAGTAAAGGTGATGATGGTGATGAAAACTACGGGAACCTTTTTCTGACAAATCATTTTGTTCTGAATTTCTTGCACAGGTGGATCTCATGATATGTAAAGTGGGCAGTGGTGTGGTTGTCCATACTGCTGACTCAGAGCAAGAAGATTCTGGGTTTTGCTCCATTCTCCATGCCCTCTCTGTGCCGAGTGGTGCATGGATTCTCTCCAGGTAATCCGTCTTCCTCCAGCAGTCCAAAGACATGCATGAGTTTGGTTAATCGGTGATCCCCCCCACTTAGAATAAATGGATGGTAGGAAAGAAGTCTCAAAGGAATTGGATTGAGCAGGCAGGACACAATGACAAAAATATAATTGTTCTCTACAACCTAAAATCGTCTTTAAAATATGGGAAACGGGGATATGTCATCTAACTGAAACAGTCACTTCCTGCACTTTGTATTTTGTCTCAGACATCAATTAAAATATCTACTTTAAAATAAATAATTAACTTAATTTTACTTTGAAATCTTCCTGCTTTTGTTTTGAACATCATACTAACAGTGCTTTCAAACACAGAGTAACTAGTGCATTTGGCAAACTAGTCGCTTAACCATAAAACGAGATATATATTACTAATTGCTACTTTTTTAAAATTAGAAAATTTGACTCGGATACAGAA